TATATATATATATTGGATATAGTGATCCCCTGTTGGATTTTAATAAGTTCTCTGGGGTCTGTTTTTATTGCTATTGAGGGCTCTATTAGAGATAATTCCCCTCACTTGCTGTCCCAGTGACAACGGTTTCAGCAGACAGGAAATGAGGAACAATCACAACAGCAACACCAACAGAAATTATTATTATTTTTTAGTAGAGTTTGGTGGGAGAACAGCGCCTGTCAGCTTGTATTGCTGTTGTGTTCCTGCTGCTTATTTTCCTTCACCTATTATATAATAAAACCAATGTGACCGTGACAGTGAGTGATGGAAATCTCTCTACACTTTAGGGTAATAGGTCAGCATATCCCACAAAGAAAACCTAGCATTTTATGAAGGAGCTCAGTAATGGCAGCCACCATATTTCTTTAAAGACACTTTTACCTTAAATAACAAATACCTGAAGCACAGTGATGTGTTATAATTCAAGGCAGGGGTAGGTAACCCAGGAGAGGTGGAGATCTACTCGAACAAAATGGACGAGATCAAAGATTACAAGGGTGCAGCGCGCTATTTTCTTTAGGGCTATAACCTGGCAAGGCCCCATTAAAAAGTAAGACTGGTAGAGTAAGTATAGTCTAACCCAGTGGTTGTCAACCTATGAGGTTTAGGCTTTGTTAGAGTCTGGACACATGCTGCAGAAGATGAGGCTAGCAGAAATCATAGCTTTTAGTACTTTACAAACCAATGTTTTTCAATCCCTTGACAAACTGAGGGCTGAACAGCAAGTACCAAAGGGCCACATGTCGCCCTCGGACTTCAGGTTGGGCACCAGGGGTCTCACCACACCTCACCGCACTTAGGCAACCCCACACCTCCTTCCCTCCTGATACACAGCCACTCACAGCCTTGAAACATCTCTCTTGTTCGCCATCTATTTCACTTGACAACTCGTTCTGGTTATCCAGGAAGTGGTTGTCATAGCAATAAAGCGCACCCAAAAAAACAACAAATAAGGTGGCAGAGACTTTCTCCTTTCCATCCTCTGACCAATCACAAAGTCTTTCCTGAACAAGAATAGAGCACCCTATACCTCCTCCTCAGCATCATCTCACTGCTCTGGCGGCTATCTGATAAGAGCACTGCCATCACTATTCATGTCAATGAGGCAGTGCACACAGCAAAACCTGGTCACAATCTAGCTGTCCAGTGGTCGCGATCTGTGGTCGTAGACCTTGATGAATCTGTTGCTTACCCCTGACCTAAAGCAACCAATCTGTAGTTAGCTGTTTGTAGTTGTATGCGGTCACACCAGTGAAGTATTTGTGATTTGGCAGTTTTCAATTACTGCATTATCTGTACTTCTACATAACATACTAAATATACTTCATAGGACTTACTAAATATACTTCATAGAATACTATAATGATGGTTTTTTTAATGGTTACAAGGAAATATGTACTGCTCCCTTGTGTACCGTATGATTCCATTATTAATTTATAACAGAATTTTAATACTACTAGCAGTCTAGTAGTAGGGAGGACAAGTAACAGCAAGAGACAGTATTATACCAAAGGTAGTGCATCTATAATAGAAATCCAAACAAAGTAAAATATTTTTATAATAGGGGAACTTCTACCATGATGCAATCAGCCAGTTCCAGGTTAAATGGGGATCCAGGGAATTAAAAAAATGAATAACAGATTTTCTTGTATTTATATGAATGTTATCTTGCTTGGTTTTTAGAAATGAAATGATTTTAAGGAGAAAAGTACCATAGCTAGAATAATCTACAATGCAGGAACATAAAAGTAAAATTGTGACATTAAGCTCTACTGCAAACAGTAACTTCAGTCTGTAGCTACAAAGGGAAACTTTTAGTATGTCATAAAGTTATGAGATAGAGATGTGTGACATGAAAATTCTGCAGATTAGGTGTTCGCTGCTAGTCTTTATGGTAGGTTAGTCGCTTGATGACATAAGAAAAGCCTGTAAAGCAGGGAAGCCACAACAATGAGTTAATATCCAGGGTCTGCATCCCTTCTAGCTCTGGGGAAAGCACAGAACTAACTGCTCTCCAGCTTGCGCTGGTAGGGAGGATGTCATTGGATGAGGGGCTGGCTCGCTTCCAGGGTTAAACCTCTATATACTTCTGCTACTAAGAGACTGCCTCAGAGTGAGAAAACCAGAGAGAGTTCTTCTGTCAAAGCTATAGACAGCTTTATCAGACAGCCAGAGACAGACCGCTGCAAAGGGCTTATCTCAGAAAACCAGAGACAAGTGTCTTCAGAAAGACAAAGCCTTCTGCCAAGAAGAAAGGAAAAGATTAAACCAGTCACTTGTCAAGGACCAGCAACACACAGAAGCCACAATGTGTAAAGGATTAGCTGCCCTGCCCCACACCTGTCTGGAGAGGTGAGACTGCTTGGAGTACAACTAATGCTGTATCACTAGGGACAACACAGATGCAGTGATGGACACTGATGTACTAGGCTGTACTGTGCACTGTGTAGGGCTGATGTGCATAGGTTTTTTTTCCCCCTTTAAAATCTGCAGTATTCCTTATATGATTTAGACACAAAAAATTGTAAGATACAAAATGATTCACAGGGGACGTCTTAGGTTTTTTTTGTCTTTTGGAAAATTTGTTCCAATTTTGAACTCCTATAATCAATGTTTCACCGGAAAAAAAAAAAAAGCAAAACCATTTGTCGAAACGTTGCATTTAATTCTTAGTATCCGGGATATCCTGATTTCTTACTGATCAAGTTATTGTGGAGTATTTAAACTGCAAGGGGGAAAATGTAGTTCACATCAGCCTTTCAGATCAGTTTAACCTGTAACTTAGCTAAGTTATACAATTTCAAAAGCAGTGTTCCCGGATGGTCTTATAAGATGTTGGCAGCTACGCTAAAGGCTGCAGCACTATTTCAGTACGATGTAATGTATAAAAAGCATCATGTTTACAAATAATTTAATAAATATCTTATATTCCTACTGGATATATATATATATATATA